GTACTTGGAGTTAATCAAGCATTGGTAACATTGAATGATAATGATTGCATCGACTTTTTTGCTCGTTGCAATAATTACATCACTACATGGAAAACCGAAAATAAAGAACCTATCGAACTTCTCTTTCTTCAAATACTCTCCTATTATCAATTAGACTTTAACTTCGATGATTTTGTTATATCAATACAAACACGAATGCCTATTCTAAAAACTGATAGACAAAGATCACGACAAGCTCCATGTTGCGCAGGTAGTACACTAACGGAAATGTCACGTTCATATTATTTTTCCTGTTTCCTAGATCCAATGCATATTAATCGAAATTTAGCTCATACTATGAAGGCGAATGCTTCATTAGCATACCTTCGAAAAACATTCAATAAGTCTTTTTATTATCTGTGTATGCCTAACAGAAATCCATCCATAATAACTGATTTGATAATGAATCAAATTTGCTGTTCATACAAAACCTTCTTCAATATTTTATTGTCTGATATCAAGCTAAATAGCAATATCACACAGGACCATATTCAACAAGCATACTATCAAACATATTATAATGAATCGAAACGACAACTTGAGTCAAATAGGTAAATTGCTCATAGTATATAATGTTCTTCGTCATTTTCTGTAGATTAAATGGCGAGAAGGTCGAACAAGTGCAGCAGATAAATCATATTCATAAATCGGAAGATGATGCCATCGAGCAGCCTGTTCCATACGAGAAACTCGTTCAATGTCTTGATGAACATCAAAAATCTGTCTTCAGACTTCAATATCAGAAACACGGTAATATCTAATTCTAGTCGATAAAACATTTCTGAACAAAAGCTCGAACTATAGTTCGTGAGTTCAATGATAAAATGCGTGAAATAATTAATGCAGTTCAAGAGTTGCCAGCCTCTTATTCAAGTGTATCGAATGTTGTCGATAACGCTGCAAAAGAAATTCAACTGGAACGTATCCTTCCTTCTAATATACTGACAATGGCAGAACCCATCCTGTCCAACAATACTGCCAGAAGTTTCCATGAATTTAGTGCGAGAAACTTCGTTGCCGATCAAGTATGAATTTATCTTTTAATATCAATCAAATAAACACGATATGTTGATTGTATTGTTAAGGGTCCTCCACGTGTGTGTACCGTTTGTGCTAAGACTGATCATGAAAAACCCGCATGTCCAAAACTGTCTCTGCCAAGTATCATTGCTTTGCAGGAAATTAGCAAACATTGGTCTGATGTACTTTCACGACTTTGTCGAAAAATTACAGGTATGATTACTCGACAGATTGTCAAAGTTGGTCTCCTTTATCAGTTAAGACTATTTGTAGATGAAAGTCAAATGGCCAATGAAGATATCGAACAGCGAGAGAAAGTCTTAACTTGTCTTGAAAAAGAATTTCAAAAATTATACTCCTATTGTCGTGTACATCCGACGGGTTCATTCAAGAATGGTTTCGGTTTCCAACATAGTGATCTCGACGTTTGTATTGAATTGGAAATGAGCGTACGTTTGCAATTCATTAAGAAAATTTCTATGAATTGAATATTTTCAATTACATTCTAGAACAATGAATCCAGTATCCAAATTTTGGAAAACCTAGCTCAATGCCTTCAATCTAATGAACCTTTGTTCAGAATTATTGAATTAGTGCGCAATGCTCGGATACCAATCGTTCGATTAGTACACATTGAGTCTAATATTGAAGTTGATATTTCTGTGAACAACCTCCTTGTAAGTTACTGCCGCTTAATGTTTTACTTTTCAAACTCTTACTCAAAATTTTTATAAGATACTTAGTTAATGAAAGTATTTATCTTCTTTTTTTAGCCAATTGAAAATACTCGACTATTGAAAATGTATTCCGACATCGATCCACGTGTTCGTGAATTAGGTTTCGTTGTAAAAACTTTGGCAAAAGTATAATATGTTGATTCTCCTATTAGTCTGTTCAACTAGAAGAGTTCATTCTATTTATATTATTATAGAAATGCAATATATGTGATGCAAGTCGTGGAACGCTATCAAGCTATGCCTACATTCTCATGGTGATACATTTTCTACAGCAAATTCAGCCGCCTGTGATACCTGTTCTACAACAAGTTGTAGACAATATGCTATGAATAGCCTTTCGTAACTTCTGTCATTCACTTTCAAATTTTAGTTACTCGATGGTCTGTCAAGTGATCTATCGAACGTTCGAAAACGTGACGATTGGAATGTTTACTTCTATGATGATTTAAAAAATCTTGTTCGTATTTATGATGATCAATGTTTTTTTTTGCGTTATTTGGTTTTTTCTGATTATGTATATGTTTTCTAGAACGAAGTGTGGAAGGACTATGGTTTGAATAAATTATCATCAGGTGAATTATGGATTGAATTTCTACGCTATTATACAGAAATATTCGATTATGACAAGAATATTGTTACTATTCGACAATTCCAACCATTACCACGTTCAGAAAAAGGATGGTTTCATCCAACTATTGCCATTGAAGATCCATTTATCTTAACTCATAATTTAACTGAAAAACTATCCTTAAGAAGTCAGTTATTCATATTGTTCTACTTTTTCAATAATGCTGATTAGTTATTTTTCTGTTATGTAAGATTGGTTTCATATTCGTCGCGTGTTTCTTCATGCTCGAAATCGATTTGGCCTACAACCATACAATGACACTATCGATATGAATGAATCAAACCTTGAGCAATTAGAGGTTAGATCGTATTCTTGTTTGAGACACAAATATAAGTAAACCAAATAAAAACGCATCTTTTTTCTAGCTTCACCTTTTCGATACAAATGCTCTTTGCGCGGAGACCAATACAAAGAAGAACAAAAAAAAATCTTAAACTACTGCAACATTTACCGTGCTTTCATTTGCTACAGCGATGGTCATGGAAAAAAAGCAAAAATTTACTAATGTTTTAAGAAGTTTTATTGACCAAAGGACATTGTATTTTCGTTACCTAATAATATTTTATTATTTAAAAATGACAAATAAAAAACGCAGCATACATATGTCTTAATGATAGAGAGTGTTTCTCTATTTTCATGTGGAAGATTTAATTATTTGCACAGTTAATATTCTTGAAAATCATTTAGCAATATGATATGACCAAAGAAGAACTATTTTATTTCTGTATAAATGAAGTACATCAACGAAAAGAATTAAAAATTAGTTTTGACGATCGTCGCATATACCAAATGATAGCAAGTCAAAAGTTCATTTTGATTATTTGCACTAGATTCGGTATCGTTAACTTTGGTGAGTTACCATCGATAGATATAGCAGACCTGAATCTTTATTAAACCTACTCGAGTAGCTGTAGCGAACACTGGTCTATTACAGAAAGTTTCATGCAGCAAGGTTCCTCTCTATTGTGGTCGCCTTGATTCGATCGTTACTCCAGGAATCATATCGGGACACGGACATAAAATGGTGGGTAGTAACCATTTTAGCGCTAGGGTTAAAGATCAATCCGAAATAGAACTTTCCGAAGTTACTAGATCGGCCTCTTGTACAACATGCTCAGTTCATACAATCGATAATAGCAATTATTGGCATCCTGATTTGTAAGTTTAAAAAAAATCCCTTAATTCATTAACCTACAGTGACTTCTCTTGTTGTCACGTAATTGAATGTAACACTTGCCTCATTAATCTTTTATTCATACGTGCTTTCTTTTCATTGGTACTAGATACTACCGCTGGCCTAATGGAACTTTTTCGCTCTTACCTAATAGCTATCTAATAATATACTATCTGGCTCGTAAGGGCGACTATGGAGGTCCACAGCACGTGGATGCAAAGTGGAAAACCTTTTCCAAAAGGTTTCCGTATGGTTGCAGGTGATTCAATGCGTCGAACTTCCAATCAATCGCGTATCGAAGGCCAAGTCATCTCCTTCATCTGATAAGCTATCGATTTTTGAAATACCACGAAGGTGATAAGCATGATAGAATTCATACACACTTTGAATATGCTGCAAAATAAAATTTTTCCATCATATACGTAGTTTGACCGATTCAATATCACTTGTACCGGAGACAAACGGACTTCCAACGGATAAATTTTTTGTAAAAATGGTCTTCGAATGCAAATCTTCTTTCCTATGTGTTGGGATGGTAAGGATGTGGATGTGGGTAAAACGAAGACTCCGATACCCACACCCACACCTCGTCCTTGCTCAAATGATAATGAATTTGATTGTGATACTTTCGGAAATGATTTTGAATCTATGAAGTATGCCAATATCATTTCGTTGGATTAATCAACCAAAACGAAAAACAAAAAAACATGATGATAAGATTGTACCAGTGTTACAATCCCCAACACATGGAGAAAAATTCCATCTAAAATGGGATATCTCGAATTTTGATCCAGAAACTATAAAAACAACAATTGAAGGTCGTCTTTTAATTATAGAAGCAAAAACGAATATCATCATACGAATAATGACAGTACTAAAGAAAAAAAAAATAATAATCGACTTACCTGAAATTGTTTATGAACATGCTGCATCATAAGGAATTGATAGTTATCATTTACTTTTAAATGATCAACATCGTGATCTATCATTTAATTATCATCATTTTCATACATCATCTGTTACACTAAAAGTTAGTGATGCAGGAGGAGGAGGAGGACATAAAAAAAGTTACAAATGTCGTTACCTATGAAAAATTATCATCCCGAATACATTAAAGTCTTAGTCAAAAATAATGATATGATTATACGAGATGAACATATACCAAAGGATAGTTAAGATTTACAAAAAAAATTTATTTTTACAAATCGATTACTCTTTCACCGGACACGCAAACTGATCATTTCATGTTCAATCTCATTTAACATAAGATGGACGTTTACAAATAGAAGCACCATTTACTGAATATATTTCAAAAAGTTGAACTTATTAAGACACAGAACAATTTTATACCAGTTAGTTTTAGACACATTTTATCTGTAACAAATTTAACATGTAAACTATCAAGGGGGAAACGGCGGATTTTGGGGATTGCCAATCCTTGAAAATCCATAAAAAATCCGTAAAAAATCCCAAAAATCCCAAAAATCCGTAAAAAATCCCAAAAATCCGTAAAAAATCCCAAAAATCCCTGAAATACAATAAAAATCCCTGAAATACATTATTTAAGTCAGTCGCATATGACGAACATGTTGTTTGTTTGATATTGACGAAGTCATATTTTTGTATATTTCACTTTAAAAAATTGTTTTTGTTAGATAAAATGTGTCTAAAACATAACAATCTTACAAGATATTCTGTAAGCTAGAATGTAGAGCGCCTTGTGACAGTGTGTATAAAGACAAAAGAGCAAGGGGAAAAAGCGGATTTGGGATTTTATAGATTCTAAAATCCAAAAAAGACTTTTTTTTGATTTTACGGGATTTTTTTTGGAATTCTTCGGGATTTTTCGGGATTTTTTGATAATTTTTTAGATTCCTGAGATTTTCTTTTCGAACTTTTAAACTTCTCCTTTCTTGTCTATCATTCGAATGCCGTTTTTCCTATTGTAAAACAACGTTCTATAACCACCAGATACAGTATTTGGAATAATTTGGTTGTCGTCTCTCATTCACCACAGTGGCATTCTTCAAGGATTTTGACTAGGCATCTCGTCAAAGTGCATGTAAAAAGGTGTCGCAAAACGTTCAAAGTGTGCTACTTTTTAGGGCTATTCTATGGGGGTACCCATAGTTCCTCATGCCCTATCCCATGGGTCACTCATAGGTCCTCATGGACTATCTGATGGGGTACCCATAAGTCCCCAAGCGGTGTCCTATGGGGGTGCCCATAAGTCCTCTTGCCCTTTCCAACGGGACACCCATAGGTCCTCGTACCCTATTTTATGGGTACCCATAAGTCCTCATGGCTTATCTTATAGAATACCCATAAGTGCTTATGGCCTATCCTATGCAGTTATCATAAGTCATCATCGCCTGTCGTATGAAGGTACTCATAGGCCCTCAAACGCTTTCCTGTGGAGCTACTCATAAATCTTCAAGCGCTTTCCATGAACAGCGTCCATAAGCTCCCAATGGCTATCGAGGTTTGGTATCGTTAACTTTTCAAGGACTGTCTTGCGGCAATTCTGGTTACTCTTTAAAGGTTATCCCATGGAAGAGTGTCAGGTGCTGCTGACTGTTCAGAAGATATCTAGCGTTAGTCGTCACAGGTTTTCAAGGGTTTTTAATCACAGGACCTGGCAGACAATAATAAGGATGCTACTCGTACGTCATCTAGTAGCTGAAGTTGAATGTGGTACGGGACTGGTGTAAGGATAATGCAAGAATCGTGTACCTGATTTTTCCTTAAAGAAGTGAAAGTGGACTGTTCTTCTTAGCTCAACATCATTGAGTCACCTAAAGGAGTAGTTTTACTTCACAATTAGTATTACGTCGACGAGATTGCGTTTCACAAGTTTGGGTCAATTTTGAGTTAACCTTTTATCAAAGATCGGTTCAACGTTTGGTTCATGACACCTTCAGCTCCACGACTTCCGAGAGCTCAATTGAAGAGGTGCTAGAGAGTAACATCTCATGTGAACGAGAGCTGGCTGATCATCTCCACCACGGCAAACTGAACTGAGGCTCTCGCACACTTATAAGCGCCACTGTAAGACAGCCATTGAGGATCTATGGGTATCGCCACAGAATAGGCCATGAGAACTTACAGTAGCTCCCATAGGATAGTCCTTGAAGAATTGTGGGTACCCTATAGGATAGGCTATAAGGACCTATGGGTACCCCCATAGGATAGCCCTTGAAGAATTATGGATACTCCTATAGGATAGCCCTTGAGGACCTATGGGTACCCCCATAGAACAGCAGTTAAGGACTTATGGGTACTCTCATAGGATAGCCATTGAGGACTTAAAACTGCCTATTTATGTTCGAAACACTAGAGAATATGATCGAAAAATATTGCTGAAAACTACTTTCGATTTTGGATTTTCGGATTTTTTGGGATTTTTTGGGATTTCTTGGTATTTTCTCGGGATTCAAATCCAAAATAATCCGCTTTTTCCCCCTTGTAGGTAGATAGTTTTTGTTCCTTCTTTTTCATTTTTTCTGATTTTTGTTGTTTTTCTTTGCTGTTTTTTTCAACAAGTAACGCTCGTCCATGTGACTCGCTTGACCCTCCACTGAATATTCGGCTCTTTTGGTGTTATATGCTGCTTTACATTCTTCAACGAACCTAGTATCCAACGTTTCAAAAGAATAGGTAGGTGTGTGGATGTCAAGAATTGGCATCAATCTCGTTGTGTACAATAGTATGCAAATCCGTGTGCTAATTTTTGTCATAAATTGATCTAATTGAATTGATATCCACACATTGATACTCAACAGAAATCCAGATGAACTACACTACGGCGGCCGTATTTGCAAGCTCCCGAAAAGAGAGATTATGTTCAATTTTTTGAGCGGTCATGAAGCAAAATGCGTTCGCGACACCATTGTGAACATCTGCCATACTCCTTGAAAATTCTACTAAAAATCCGTATGCTTACTAGTACATCGCCCGACAATGTTGTTTGCTAGAGCATCGCTAGAAAAATACAAGTTCAGTTGAACTTCTAGCTTAGAATAAATTATATAAGATCTGAACTGTAATTCGAATATCATACTTGAAAGAAGCTCCTACTCGAGGTTGCCGCTGGACTCGACAGATACTTTGAATATACCCGTATATATTCCCGCACGTGAATGAACACAAACAAGAACACATACCAACAGAAAAACTCCCTCTTCTTTCATTCATATCTACTTTTGATACAGCGAATATAAGTTCTTTGAGTGATGTTTTCCGTGAAATGTACGATTCAAATATTATACACGTGCAGAAAAGCCATTCTCACACTTTATTTCAAATTATTTCTCAGTTCTTTGCCACTGCTAGCCCCTATCCAAATCCATCAGATCTACACTGTTGACATTTATCCGATGAATCCCAACAGCCTGAAGCTTTCTTTCAGGGAATTTTCCAGTGCAGCGACTAGTCGCTCGTCGGCGCCCCTTTGAGGCGCTACTCGCGGCTAGCCGATGCCACGTGTAATTCTATTCTCCCATAAGATCATCCTCTTTGATTTACACTCTATCAAATTCCAGGCTGCTCTTACTTCGACAAATAGTTAGATTTATAACATGAGAATTCTCGATGGGCACTCCGGAATTGGCACTTTGTTACGAACTATTCCATATTTCTTCAACCTAATTGTCTAGCTGAAAAGTCACAGTTTTATTAGAATTTCTAATTAAGGGAATCTTAGTGCAGTATTCTTAATGAACCCAGCTTTCATACCGATCTTTTCCGAAGCGTATGTCGAATGCGCTTGCAATATCAGTGGCTAGTTGTTCGTCGGCGCTCCTGCGGGGTGCCACTCATGGCCAATCGCTCCATTATTTGAATACACTAAAGTAATAGTTCGTTATTCTCCATGTACCGTAAAAGTTCTGACTCCATTTACAAATACCGTTTTACATTGGCTTCTTCGAGTTAAGACCCATGATTGGCTGGAATTTCAATATTAAAAGATCTAATTGGTTGAAAGCCCAATATCGAACATCTCTGATTGGCTAGAACTCCAATATGGAAAAATCTGATTAGCTGCAAGCCCAATATCGAAAACCCCTGATTGGCTGGAATTTCAATATGAAAAAAATCCTATTGACTGAATGTCCAATATCGAAAACCCCTGGTTGGCTGGAATTTCAATATGAAAAAAATCCTATTGGCTGAATGCCCAATATCGAAAACCCCTAATTGGCTGGATTTTTGGCGTGAAAAAATCCTATTGGCTGAAAGTCCAATATCGAAAACCCCTGATTGGCTGGATTTTTAGTATGAAAAAATCCTATTGGTTAAAAGCCCAACATTGAAAACCCCTGATTGGCTGGATTTTTGGCATGAAAAATTCCTATTGGCTGGAAGCCCAACATCGAAAACCGCTGATTGGCCGGTTTTTTAGCTTGAAAGAATGTGATTGGTCGAAAGCGCGGGGTCGAAAACCCTTGATTGGGTGATTTCTCAGAGTGAAAGTTCCAAGGGGAAACGGCGGATTTTTGGGATTGCCAATCCTTGAAAATCCATAGAAAATCCGTAGAATCCCAAAAATCCGTAAAAAATCCCAAAAATCCGTAAAAAATCCCAAAAATCCGAAAAAAAGCCCAAAAATCCCAAAAATCCGGAAAAAATCCCAAAAATCCCGAAAATACGCAATCCGCCGGTTCCCCCTTGTAAACTATTCTTTCGTAGAAATAACAATTTCATATTTTCTTTGAGGTAATCAGTATACATCAAATAATCAATTTACAAACACATCAAAAAGTGTTTAAAATCATTTTATTTGAATTGGATATCTCTTAAGAAATTTTCTTCTTTTTTGAAAATAACATTTCTCAACAATTATTTTATATTATTTCATTATAGGTTTGATCATATTGAGGGTATGGGTGTTAGAGAATAGACACCTACAGCCACACATCTACTCCCTCGATGTTCAAT